CACCATCACCACCACCATCACCACTAGCACTGTTGGAGTGGAGGGGGAGAGGGGAGAGGGGGAGGTTTGGGCAGTTGATGTTGTCGTTGTCACTGTTAAGTATGATCCACCAGTTAGTTGTACGGTTCAGTTGCTATGATGACGTCATCACTACCACTGACCCCTCTAGATTCCTAGCGGCCTTTCTCCCCCAGCCCGCACCCCCCTTCCTCTTCCCCCCCACCCCGCACACACACATACCCTACCTCACCCACGCACACGCCTACAATCCCCCGTACATACATACATACATGCATGCAGGTTGTGTCGTATTCGTGACCGGCTAGCTCGTCTGCGTCCCCGTTTGGGTGAGGTGGCGGTGGGTGACCTGGCTGAGCTGCTGGCGTATGGATACAGCTTGAGGTGGGTCCGGGGGGTGGGGGATGATGCGGAATTTAGATATGTTGAATGGAATCGGATGTGTGCCACCTCGTGCCACCGTGTGGTGTGATGTTGGAGATAGGAGGGGGGGACCCGGGAGGGGGGACGCGGGAGCGCTGGGGAGGGGGAGGGGAAGGGGAGGGGGAGGGGGAGTGAGAGGAGGGTTTGCGGCCATGCGGCCATTGTAAGCACTCCACACCTGATGATGAAAGGGGACCCGGGAGGGGGTTGGAATGGAGGGTATGTCGTACTGTATACCTATTCACGTTTTATCGCCGTACATCCTTGACCTCACCTGGACCTAGCCCCCCCCCCCACTTTTCTCACCTTCAAACCCCCCGCAGCCCCCGATTTCCCCCGGCGACACAACCACCACAACCACCACAACCACCTCTACCAGCTGCATCCGGGCCCTCAGCTGCTCACGACACCTCCCCCCACCCTGCTGCCCTCCCGGCTGCTGAGGTTGCGGGGGGAGATGGAGGTGGACTTGGGGGTGCCGTACCAACCGCGACCACCGCTCTTAAGGGAAGGAGCTGTGGGGCGTTACAACCTCAACAACCGCAACCGCAACAGCAGTTGGGAGTTAGCATGAATGCCATCGCCGTACATCCAGATGGTCGTGAGGAGCCGGTGGTGTTGTGGTTTGGCCTCATTGACATTTTACAGCCGTACAATACGACAAAAAGACTGGGTGAGTGAGGGTATGAAAATGGGGGTATGAAGGACACGACACAGTGTCGTCATACCCGTGAGGGGGGCGGGGGGAGATTGGGAAGTGCTCTTGGTGCTACTGCTGCTACTGCCCAACCCATGCTGACCCCCCTCCTCCTGTGTGTGTGTGTGTATCTCCCCCCCACTTCCGAGCCCCCCCACCCCACCCACTCCTCAACCCAACCCCACTCTCCCAGACTATTTGTAAACCCCCCTCTCAACCCCCCTCTCACCCCCCCCTCCCTCCCCCCCCTCTCAACCCCCCTCCCCCCCCCTCTCAACCCCCCTCCCCCCCCCTCTCAACCCCCCTCCCCCCCCCCTCTCAACCCCCCTCCCCCCAGAGCACGGGCTCAAGTCGGTCCTGCATTCCTCCCACAGCATATCAGTGACTCACCCTGCCACGTACGCCAACAGGTTCCAAACCTTCATGAGGGGGGTGTTCGAGTGAGAGGGGAGAGGGGAGACGGGAGAGGGGGAAACACATGCACATGCATGGGTAGTGGCAGGTAGGGTGTGCTGAGGGTTGTCCCGCGGGTGACTGACCCGCGCGATTCAACTTGCGAGTGCGTATGTCTGTATTCATGTATTTATGTGCGAGTGGCGTGTGTGGCAAGGTAACTTCTTGGCCGTACAGGGCCAGTGAGGGGGCGGTGGCGGGTGGGGCTGGTGGGGCAATCCCGCTGTGGGGTTATTACACCCGTTCGCCCTGCTGGCTCGTTCCCGCCCACCCCCTTCCCCTTTGTATGAATGTATGTATGTGTGTTGTCAAATGTCAGATTGTGGTGGGAGGTGTGGTCCAATCGCAATGCCGGCAGCAGCAGTAGCAGTAGCAGCAGGGTGCTCGCCTCGAGAAGCCGGGCCCCATTCGGGCACCAAACCAAACCAAACCCGGGTGGCGGCAAGCAGCAGCTCGGGGGTGGGGGGAGGAGCAGGGGGGCGCCCTCCTCCATATGGGGGGGCGCCAGAGGAGCCCCTCAGCAACAAGTGTACGGCAACAGAGGTCCCCAAACACACCATGTGTTGGCCACCGAATGGGGGACAATAACGTCGCGATTGGACTGCACTGTTATTTTTGGATGTACGACGTGCATGTGTACTTGTACACATATGGCATAGGAAGGGAGCGTTGGGAGTGATGTACGGCACAAGTAAAGAGTACGATAGGACACGCGGGTTCCACCCCACGTACGTGTTTGTGTGTGTTTCGGTGTCATGCCGTGTGCGTGCGTATGTATGTATGCTCTTTGAGAGGCGGTATGTCGGGGAAGGGGAGGTGAGGCTGCGGGTGCGCTTTGCTGCATTCAGCTGATGTTATTCATAATTTGTTAAATCGGGTATATATTATTATGTCATCTTCTTCTTGATGGTGGGTGGGTGAACTCTTGAAGAGATCGTAAAGCAGTGGGCATGACGGGTGTTGTGTGGTATGATGCGATGTGATGTGTGATGTGTGAGGTGGAGGTGGAGGTGGAGAGGTGAACAGAGGAGGTGAAGCGGAGGGGAAAAATGCGAAGTGGTACGAAGTGAATTTTTGTACGGAGTGAAGCTGTACAAAGTGAAGTGGGGTACGAAGTGAAGCTGTACGAGGTGAATTTCTGTACGAGGTGAATTTCTGTACGAGGTGAATTTCTGTACGAGGTGAATTTCTGTACGAAGTGAATTTTTAAGCAGCCCCTTCGCACAAATGTGTCCGGTCGTACTGTGCCGAATAAAACATCCGTACAAGACGCGAAAGCCAGGCGCGAAATTTACCGTGCGGATGCGCGCGTGCAATTCTCAAAATGCGCCTGTAAAAGTGTATGTAATTTTTTCGGCGAAAGGCCGCTCATCAGGGCATGTTGGCCGCAGTCACAAGCGGCATGCATCTCGGACTTTTGGCTGGCTGCTTAGCCTGAGCTGAAAAAGATATGAAAGCATACAACGTAGCTTGCAAGACTGGGCGCTTGAAACGGCCGCGGGAAGAGGAAGCGTTTGGCGAAGCGGCAGTTTGCGCAAGCAAACGAGATGAGTTAACAAACGTCCATGTGGAGACTCCCGGTTAATGGCAGGTCTGAGGTCCAATTAACTGTAGTGTGCGCTAGTGTGGACTTAGTGTACGGGGTGTTTCCACTAGGCCTTACGGTTCTCCGCCAGGAGTGCCCCAACCTCCAATTTGTTTGATGAATATTTTCTACTATCATTAGTAGTATCAATATATGCATTTAGAACGGTGAGAGACGAGTCCAGGACGAAGAACATTCAAACTTAGTGTTAGTGTTCGGCCAAGTGGAAACACCCTGCTAGTCTATTGCGTGGCTGCTTTGCAGTAACTGAAAGCACCGAAAGCCTACGTCGTAGCTTGCAACACTGGGCTCGTGAAACTGCCGCGGGAAGAGGAAGCGTCTGGCGAAGAGGCAGTTGTGTGCAAGCCAAAAGGCGCCTGCTTTCTGCAGCGCAGCGCATACAGCACCTTGTTCCGACTAAAGTCAAGTTACACTCTTTACGAAAATAATTATAACAAACGCAGAATTAGGTAAAGATAAAAATCGCGGTGCCTGTCGTTGGGAACAGGGAAGGTCCGTTCCTGGAACAGGCGCGGCCATGTTCCCGGAACAGTCGGCTATCACATGGAACAGGAACACTTTCCTTTGGAACAAGCCTTTTTTTTCTTTCATTTCCTTTCACACGTTTGTATGGCTTCTTTGTCCGTGGATAGTACATGACAAATAATGAACGTTTCACCTTCAATCGCGCAAGGCGCGCTTACGGCATATCGCTTCGTCTTCCCCGCCATTCCCACGCGCCTATCCTATAAATGGAGCAATTTTGGCCTATATATTGGTGTGAAGCAAATAGCGAAGGCGCGAATTGATTGGCCTGACGTGACGTGACCTGACATTACTTAGACATAGAACCGTCCGGGCGGCAATCGGCGCGGTTAAGAGAAAAAGCGGAAAAGCGACAGCACCACCAACAACAACAACTAGCGCAGCCGGCCTCAAGCAATGCGTCCGGTCGCAGTTATAATCTCAGGAATCGCGCTCGTCCCGACGCCGAGGAGGAGACTCAAGTGCCGGCGAAGTCGACGCAATCGGCAACATCCATTCAGTGGAACATCTTTCGGTCGCAGCTGGCCAAACCGCCCAAACTTGATGCTGACGAGCCCGCTGCAATGTCCGCTCGCGCCCGCTGTCAGTCTAAGCTGACAGATCCTGAAGGTACTCTCCAAAATCATGGCCTCCCACGTTATCACCCTTGTTGTGACATGCGTTGTGTAGATGCTACCACGATGAGGGGATACCTAAAGGGCGCGACCCGTCGACAATCGCTCCAAGGAGGAGCGATTGTGCAGTCTTCCGGTCAGCTGCGCTGGGTTCTTGGGTATTAGGGCACACGGAAAGATTCGTTGCTTTGCTCGGTGTGTCCTGTCGAAGTCTGCCCAATGACGCCCCTTGTTGCCTGTCGTGGTGCTGGGACAAGACTATGACCCCTGCACCCCTTCTCACAGACGGGCTGAGGAACGTCCCCAATAAGCAACTCCTGGAGTTAGAGGAGATATTATTAGATTCCAACCAGGAGAAGGAGATGGCGAAACAAGCTAGCGCCTGTTTCCCTCCGGCCGGTGAGTTACTCTCGCTTACAGCTTCGACATGTGTGCCTGCAAAGTGGCGGTGCTGCCGTCCGGAGCAATCGTGGCCCATCCACGGTAAGTGCAGTGCGGGGGCAAGGGTTGGCGGGGCAGACAAGGGGCATGTGTGGGAAAAGGTAAGGTGACATGTGCGGTATAGGCTGAGTAGGCACATGTGGCACATCCTGAACGTGTGCTGAGACCGTGTGCTGTTCATGTTGCCAGGTTTGTGTACGGCTGCCGTGCTGCCGTGCCATCGTCAAGCGGCAACCAGTGCGCGCATTGCCAAGTACTGGTCGTGCGGGTGGCTGTGCGAGCCATTTGACGAGGCCGATGAGGGCCTACTGCACCAGCCTGCTGGGGCGACGGAGCCGAGCATGGGTGGCAATGTCATTGTTGTCCGTCCCACGGCCTGTTTGATGTCGGACCTGCTACAGGTCGCACTACGGCTGATGACATTGTGGGAGGCAGCTTCCAATGCAGAATGGTGTCGAGGCAACGTGGCCTTGAGTGTGGTACATGCCATGACGGGAGCCATGATGCAGCTGCCACACGTGAAATGGTTGTACATGACGTTTAGGTGCACAGTGTGAGGGGCAGCCCGGCAGGAGTTTGGAACTTCTGCCTTGCACAGAAGG